TTGTGTGGATTAACCAGCAGATTTCCCCCGTGTGATAACATCCAATGTGGGTTTATATATTTGCATGTCTGAAATTAAAAAGTTGAAATAAGATCACTCACACCTCCTTGGTTCATTATGATAGATAGGCACCGTAAAATTTACCAGGAAAGTTGTGACTTCTTTCAGTGGTCTGGGACTGGCCTACCATTAGCCAAACTGAGGTGGCCACCTCAGGCAGTGGATTAGGATGTCAGTATTTTTACTGCCAGAAACTGGGAGAGACATTTGTGAAATTTGCTGCCTCAGGTGCTAAAATAACCTGACTGTCCTGTGGTATTGCACCCTTTAACTTTGGGAGTGGAGGAAGGGCTCAATGTGCTGTTCTGCCTTAGGCAGCAGAATGTCTTGGGCCACTCCTGCAGATAAGCAATTTCTTACCTCTTCATGAAGATATAAATAAATAGCCTAGGACAACAGCTAAATCTTTTCAATGTAAAGGGAGGAAGCGGGAGTGCCAATCCAGATATTTATGAGTTCACCTTTGTTTTATTAATGTTTATTCATGTACATTTGTGCACTGATTGTGGAGGGGGGGATGCTTGTAGGTGGAGAGAAACCTGCTATGTTTAATTTTTTAAAAACTGCCCTGCCATAACCTCCAACATTTCACAGATGAAAACTGGGACATCTGAAACCAAGCAACATCAGAGGGTAGTCAAGATGGCAAAGGTTGTTAATGAGGAAGAACATGCAAGCTAAGGGAGGCTGCAGCAGTTTGCTTTTGATTGAACCTACTAGGAAGGACAAGATTCCAACTCTTCCTTTTCCCCTTGCTCAGTTAATTGATTGCAAATTCCTTTTGCACTCAGTTTGCAGCTGGGGACAAAGGGGGAAAGTGGGAGGAGGAGAAACTGGGACATTTTAAAAGTAACTTAAAAGTCAGACATCAGGGGATTAATCAGGACTGTCCTGCCAAATTGAAACTCTTAGGCAGTATGGCACTGCACTGTAAATACTTGCAGAATTCAAGTTTGGCAACTGGTCAGTCATGGGTATTTCTGTGTAAAATGGGACAGTTTCTTGTGGTTCTCTAAATCTCAGGGTTCAAATCATGATTTATTTTTTTAAAGTGCCATTTCCCTCTCTTAGGTCAATCTAAACACACTATTTTCTATGTTCTCATTTTCACATCACATCAGATTTTAAAGGGCTTGTTAGAATCATAGAATCATAGAGTTGGAAGAGACCACAAGGGCC